AAGTTACCTGGGAAGTGAGGAGCGGTGGCACACAACTTTGATCCTAACACTTGGGAGGCAGAGGCTGGTTTGAGGCCAGCCTGGTCTACAGAGTGAGTTCCAGGACAGTCAGGGCTACATAGAGAAACCCAGTTTCAACAACAAATTTACCCAGGGAAAAGGAACCTCAACAGAGGAGTTATCTCCATCAGACTGGCCTGTGGGCATGCATGTGGGGCACTTTATTAACTAATTAATGATTGATGTGGGAGGGCCCAGTCCACTGAGCAAGCCACTAAGCAGACTTCCTCCATGGTTCCTGTCCTGACCTCCCTCAATGATCAACGGTGACTGGACTGTGTAAGCCATATAGAACCTTTCATCTCAAAGCTGCTTTTGGTCACCCTGCCTATTGGTTACTTTGCTATTGCTGTGATAAAATACCATGACCAAGGAACTTATAGAAGAACCTGTTTATTTAGGGCTATGGTTATAGAGGAATAAAAGCCCATGAGGATAGAGCAGAGACAGCAGGCATGGCAGCTGCCACAGGATGCTGAAGGCTCACATTCTGAACCACAAGCAAGCAGTAGAGTGGGAATTTAAATGGGAATGGCATGTGACTTTTGAAACCTCAAAGCCACACCTCCTAAGCCTCCCCAAACAAGGCCACCAACTGGGGACCAAGCATTCAAATGCTGGAGATCATGCTGGATAGCTCATTCAAACCACCACATGGTGGAATAAAAAGCAAACCAGGACCCTATGTCAACTATATGTGGCTGCTTCCCATTAAACTCCATCTGTATGACAATTACTGTATTGGTTACAAACTCACAAATGGCCATCCTGAAAGTAAATTTACAACCATGCACAATATACACACAGCCTATACTCATATCTAAATCCAAAGTACTCTATGGTCTAGGGTTTGCTTGTTCACAGCACTCCTTGGAGAACACACTCACATTAAGTGTGAAAACTGATACACAAGTAAAACTCCAGCCATGTACTTGTGCTACACTTTTTGTCACTGTGAAAAAAATGGTCGAGCAACTAACTCAAGGGGAAAAATTTTATTTGGCTCAGCTCCAGAAGGTTCAGTCTAAGGTTGCCTAGCTCCACCGGCTTGGGCAAAACATGGCAGCAGGATGTGTGATAGACACAGGTGTTCACTTCACAGCAGACAGGAAGCAAAGGTGGACTACAGAAAGAAGACATAGCTTTCAAAGGCACAGCTCCTATGACTCACTTCTTACAGCTAGACATTCCTCACCTTTCACCACTGTTCAGTAATGCCATCATATGAATCTACCAAGGGACTAACTCAGAGTCCTCATAATGTTTCTGGAAATATGATCAGATACCCTGAGGTGTACTCCAAAGCATTTCTCAATCCGATGAAGTTAATAATTAAGATTAACCATCACATAGGATGGAAGGGAGATGGGAGAGAAGTAGAGGTATCTAATTTAGTAGAAAGATGGACTATAATCAATAGTTTTGCCATATGCTGTCAATGGATGGAATGTGATTCAAGTAACTCAGTTATATTACTTTTCATTTGGCTTACTAGTTTAAGTTGCATAGGGAATCTCATTAATCAATCCTTAGTCCTCTTGTAAAAATACTCCAGCCCTGAACCAACCAACATACAAATTCACTTAATGAAGTTGTCCCATTTAAATAAAGCATTGTTTTAAAGACAGGTAGCTCATGCAAGAAATCTTGGGAATCGTTATCTTCTGCTTGTATGTACCTCAGTTCCTTTATAAAGAAACAAAAAAAAAAAAAAAAAAGAAAAAAAAGCAAACCACGACCAAAAAACAAACAAAAAAACCTCAACACATTTGAAGAAATTCCTTTAATTGGGCCTTGGAATTATACAGACTGCCTTGTAACATTCACGCTTTCCTAGCTGCAATATTGTTTCTGGGGGGAAAAATGAACGGTTACAGCATAAGGGCATTTTGATCAATAACAAACCACCTAAAGGACAGCAGTCCCCTAAGACTTTACTACTGATAGACACTGTAGCCATCTTATTTTGTATGAATGTCCTCTATAATGTTCCAATAACAAACTTCCTAACAACGTACTTTTCAGAACAGTATCTCTGTGCATGACGGTACTGAAAATTTACTGTTCTTATAAGGAATTTTAATAGCATAGTTTGCTAGAAAATGCATAGTTTTATCAAAACAAAACCTCACCATCTAGCCCAGATTTTTGTTAATAGCACCAAAGGGTTGAGGGGAAAATACTATTGTTCTCTCAGCCATCAAGAGTAAAGCAACTCAACACTAGGGAGGTTATCGACAGCCTGGACTACAAAGGAAGACCTCCCCATCACATATACCCCCAGCCCCCAAAAAAAGGAAAAGGAAAACATCAAGAGTGCACTTCCAATTAGTCTAATTTCTACTAGTAAGTTTCCCAGCAGTGCTGGGGATCAAACCCAGGGACTAAAGCATACTGAGTGCTCCACCATTTGAGCAGAATCCCTAGTGTAATGCCTTTTGTGACTTTATTAAATAGCAGTGAATGTTATCTAAATTCTCATACCTTTTTCTTATTGCCAACCATTTTTAAGTCAGTATTTTCTGAAGTCTTCTAAAAGCTTAATCAGAACTTCTCCTTTGTTCCACATTTATTTTGAAAATAAATTAAAGCATATTCTTATTGTACTATTCTGGACGTCCCTGAGAAAGCTCATGTTAACTCACCTAAACCTTTCATGATGGAGAGCGCTCAAGGCAAAAGAGGCACCTCACTGTGGCAAAGACAGACCTAATTCAGAGTTGGGAAAATGGGATGTTCCTCCTAGAACATGGCCTCTGAGAACTATTGGTCTGGACCAGTCAATGAACCCCTCTAAACATGAAGGCTTGTTAAAAAATAAATGGAAGGAAGGAAGGAAGGAAGGAACAAACGAACGAACTGGACAAGATGATGTGGAAGTTCCCATTCATGTATATGCATATCGAAACCTTCAGAAATCAGGTCTTTTCCTTAGTCATTCTCCATTTAAAAAAAATGTTTCATTATTTTGTGTGTATGAGTGTTGTGTCTTCGCGTAGTTCTGTACATACCTGGTGCCTGAGGCCAAAGGATGCTAGATCCCATGGAACTAGACTTATGGACAGTTATGAGCCACTATGTGGATGTCGGGAATCAAATCTAGGTCTTCTCTAAGAACAGCCCATGCTCTTAAGTTCTAAGCCATTTTATCCAGCTATTTTTATTTTTAATTGTGTAATTGTGTGTGTCTGTGTGTGGCCATGTGCATGTGAGGCTATTGGATCCCCTGAAGCTGGAGTTACAGATAACTGTAAACCACCAAAAGCGCAGGGAACCAAATCAAGGTCCTCTGCTAGAGTAGTGGGCTCTCTTAACTGATGAGCCATCTCTCAACCCCTTCCACGTTACTGAGACAAGGTCTATCACTGAACCTGGATCTTACCAAGTGGTTTGCAGGAATTCTTGTCTCTGCCTCTTAGCAGTGAGATTACAGATGAGAGCCACATCTGGCTTTTTACATGGATGCTGGGGATCTGAACTCAGGTCCTCAAGTTTGTGCAGCACTTTACCCACGGAGCTAAAGGAAAAGTTCTCAAGGAAGAACTTTTAATAGGTTATCTTCCAACAAAAATACATTATAATTTTATGCAATGCCACACTCTTTATTTTGAAACCTAAGCTACTTTTGACAAGTAGGGCTCATTGTAAATCGAAAACTTCTCTGGAGCTGGAGATATATAGTTCACTGGTAAAAAACAAAACAAAAACAACCCCTCCCTACCCATCCATACACAGGAGGGCTAATTTTTTTTTTCTTTCTGAGACATAGCAGAAAAAGAAAATAGGGATGTAGATGGCACAAGATTAACCAATGGTGTTATTGAGACTAAATAATGGGTGTATGTTAGCTAGAAATACTATTTTTGTATATCTGAAATTCCCCAAAATATAGATCTGAAAAGAAAAGTTACTTTCAGAAAGAGAAAGGAACATTCAGCAGGCAAGAGTACAGGAGTTTTGTTCACACGGTCTACGATTTCAGTTTAAGTTTAGATTTAAATGCCCATTCTTACAGGGTTTCGATACAATCTTCAAGGCATGCTGCTGTTCAGCAGAGGTTCTGCTAAAATTAAGGAAAACGAACTCAAACGCAAAGTTCTTCAAGTGCTTTCAAGGCTATCTATTGATAATAAGCGCGAAGAGCTGAGAACGGGATGGAACCATTTCACATAGATTTTCTATAACTTCTGGGCCACCAAAGTTATATCCAAGTAAGATGGCAAGTGAACAGATACGTCAAACTCCCGGGCAGGAGGATGCTGCCCCCGAGGGCAGGAACCAAGGCAAAAGGTAGTGGAGTCTGGGGTGTGACTCGGTGGCTCAGCGGAGTGGACTAGTCTAGAGGAGGACTACCCTCGTATAAAGGGAGCGAGGGAGCCAGACCTGAAAACGACAAATGTGAGCACAGCGTGGGGGGGACACGACACAAGGGTGCATTCCGGGGTTGGGGGGGGGGAGCACCGGTGAGGGCGTTTCCACGTGATCTAACGCCCGCTTCTCTGCCACGCTCCTCAGCTCAGGGCCTCGCAAGGCCGAGGCGTCCAGCGGGAGAAGCGTGGTCAGCTGGAAGAGAAGCCGGCTGAGGAGAGGTGAGGGGGTTGGGGGGAGAAGCGAGAAGGGCTGGCTAGGGGGAGAGGAGAGAGGAGCAGGGTGGGAGGGGAGGGGAGAGAGGTGCGGGGAGGCTGAGGAGAGGGGAAGATGAGGGAAGGGCCGGCTGAGGAGGAGAGCAGGGTGAGCAGGGCGGGCAGATGAGAGAGGAGAGACTCTGCAGGGCGGGCTGATGAGGAGAAGAGGGAGCAGGGCGGGCGGACGGGCGGGAAGGAGCTCGGGCCGCCCGGCTTGCCCCACCGGCCGGACCCCGGACATCGGCTCCCGACCCCGCGCCCCACGCCCGGCCGGGGCCTAGGGCCGTCCGTGAGGACCAGGTCCCTCCAACTCACCGGCCGTCAGGCTCGGCTCCAGTCTTCGCCGACTGCCGCTCCCGCCCTGCCCTGCCCTGCCCGCCGTCGCCGCCGCCGCCGGCCCAGGCCTACGTCACAGCGTGCGCACGCCCGCCTTTGTCTACGCCGCTCGACGTGGTCCACCCCCCCCGCGCCCCGCCCACCCTGCGCTCGCGCTTGCGCCGTTCTCGGGAGGACGGGGCGAGGGAGGAGGGGCGGGGCGAGGGCGACGCCCGCCTCCCGCGGCTGGCTATTGGCCGGCGTGGAGGAGTTGCCCCGCCCCTCCCGCGCAGTAGCCCCGCCCCCGCAGTAGCCCGCCCCGGGCACGGATGCTCTGGGGATCGTAGGTGTGTGCAGAGGTTGCTTTCTGACCCGCCAGTTCGGGCATCATTCCGGGAGAGAGGGAATGAGCCCAGAAGAGCAAGGTTTCTTTACTGAATCACTGTGGGACTTTGTGTACCGTGAGATTCGGTTCTGGCTGGTCACGAAAAGTTAGCTGCCACCCACCCCAGCACCATCGGTCCTGCCTGAGCTGCTCATGATCACACTGAGAAAGAAAGAGTAAGGCGTTGGCTGGTTGGCCAGCTGCAGGTTTCCAACTCAGCCTCAGTTCTAACTCATCTCTCGTCAGACTTGAAACTCCTAATGCAGGCTTGTTTCCCCGACGTGGGTCCCCAAAAGAAGAGGAAGAGAAGAAAGAAGGGGTGTGTGTGGGGTGGGGGGCGCCTCCCGTTTTCCTTTTTTTTTTTTTTTTTTTTTAAATACGGCGTCCTGTAGTACAAGCTTGCCTCAAACGCTGAGGTGACACATGACCTTAAACTTCTGGACCTACTGATTTCACCTCCCAAGTGCTGGGAACAAACCATATCCCAAGTTTTATAAGGTCTGGGGATGGAGCTCAGGGCCTCATGCATGCTAAAACAAGCCCTTGACCAACTGAGCTACATTCCCAGCCTACAAGTTTGTTGCTTTTATTATTTCCAACAGTACCAAGCCCTTTCCCTAATTCAGGACTTAAACCTTTCCACTTTTTGATTTCTTCTTGCCAAAGAAATTTTTACACAACTCCAGGTGCGTAAGTATGTAACATACTTAACATATATTTACTTAATATGTCTTGTATAATCATAAATTTAGTTAAAATCATTTTGTTATGTATATATAGTTTTACTCTTACTACCTATGAAAGCAAATTTACATATTAATGAGGTGGATGTCCTTGTCATTTTTTATATAAAGAAATTGGCTAAATATTTGATACCAAAGGATATAAAATATAACATTTCTCAGAGTTGTTCAGTTTTTTTTGTTGTTGTTTTGGTTTTTGGAGACAGAGTTTCTCTGTGTAACAGCTCTCTCCGGCTGTCCTGGAATAAACTCAGTAGTCCAAGCTTGCCCTCAACTCACAGAGATCCGCCTGCCTCTGCCTCCCAAGTGCTGGGATTAAAGTTGTGGGCCACTGCCAGGCGAGTTAGTTTTTTAAATTTTATAATTGTCAATACTGAGAACACTGCTTTTCATAAATACCTTGTACAGAATACCATTAGTAAGTTTATGGACATTTCAGAAATTATTAGAAATTCTGCCCTAATCCCAAGCCAAAGTCAATTTAACAGGTTTTTGTGAGCAGATTAACTCAAGCAGCAGTCTTTAAAATCAAGCATTCTAATACAATGCAAACCCCAAATATGCTAATTTGATGCTTACATGCTGAGAGGAATGACTATAAGGGAATATTTTTTAAGGTAATGTTTTCTTTGTTTTTAGTTTGTTTTTATTTTATGTGCATTGGTGTTTTGCCTGCTTGTTTGTCTGTGTGAGGGTGTCAGATCCCCTGGAACTGGAGTCACAGACAGTTGTGAGCTGCCATGTGGGTGCTGGGAATTGAACCTGGGTCCTCTGGAAGAGCCATCAGTGCTCTTAACCACTGAGCCATCTCTCTAACCCCCAAGTCACGGTTTCTTTAAATAAGCCATTATGTGGTAGCTCATCATCATAATACTCCACAAATGTAGAGGCAGAGGATCAGAAGTTGAAGGTCAGCCTGGGCTAGCTATGTGAGATCCTGTCTCAAAACAAGCCCAAAAGAACTGGCGAGATGAGACAGTGGGGAAAGGCACTTGTTGAGAAGCCTGAGGACCTGAATTTATTCCCTGGAACCCATTCTTACAAAGTGTTCTCTAACCTCCACATGTGCACTGGGGCAAAGTCATACTCAAAACTGCACGTGTACACAAAACACACCAACACGTTAATAGATCAATGTAATAGAAACATGCAGAAAATTGGGTCAGGCATGGTAGCAAACACTTTTAAATCCAGCACTCAGGAGACAGAGGCAGTGAATCTTCGTAAGTTTGAGGCCAGCCTGGTCTACATAGTGAGTTCTAGGCCAGTCAGAGCTGCATAGTGAGACCTCGTCTCAAAAAATTAATTACTTTAAAAAAAATACAGGTGGGACTGGAGAGATGGCTCAGTGGTTAACAGCACTAACTGCTCCTTCAGACCAGTTCCATACCCAGCAGCGGCTCATAACTAACTCCAGTCCCAGGGGATCAAATGTCCTCTGCTGGCCTCCACCAGCACCAGGCATGTGAGTAGTACACAGATATACATGTAGGCAAAACACCCATAAACATAAATTTTTTTTAAGTAAAATTAAAAATAAAATAAGTAAATAAAAATCATTTCAAAATGTACTCCAGGCAGTGTGGCCTAGGAGTAAGATGCAAATGTGAAATTTAAAGTCGAATAGTGAGCAACATCTTTCTTAAAAATCCTTTTTAGGCCGGGCGGTGGTGGCGCATGCCTTTAATGCCAGCACTCAGGAGGCAAAACCAGGAGGATCTCTGTGAGTTCGAGGCCAGCCTGGGCTACCAAGTGAGTTCCAGGAAAGGCGCAAAGCTACACAGAGAAACCCTGTCTCGAAAAACCAAAAAAAAAAAAAATCCTTTTCAGGGCTGGGCTGGGGCAGTGGCTAAGTGTACCGTGAAGTGCCTGCTAAGTGTGAGGACCTGAGTTCAGATCCGCAGCATCCATGTGATATCCAAGTGTAGGCCTGGTGCACTGGAGGAGCAAAGACAGACAGATCCTGGAGTGAGAGGCCAGACTAGCAAAACATTGACTCTAGGTTCAGTGAAAGACTCTGTCTCAAAAAATGTGGAAGGTGACACAGAAGATACCAGAAGTTGACCTTTCTGGCCTTCACACGTGCAAACACAAGTCACTGGTCCAGCCCGAGAGGCTTACAATAGATAACATTCAGGAAGGCAGGGTATCTTTACTTCAAACCCGAGATTTTTCAGGAAATTTCTGGAAACAGAAAAGAGGCCCTACCTACCCCAAGTAATATATATTCAGACCTTAAGCCTGGTCACTGCTAGATTAACCTAAAATACCTATATATGAACAGAATATTAACTTTATGTCAACAGCCTCTACAGCCAATGGTGTTTATTGTGTAGGAGTTCTTTTTAAGATTTATTAGTTTATTTGTGTGTATGTGTGTTTGTGCAAGTGCCCGAAGAGGCCAAAGAGGGACAGGCTCCCCTGGGTGCAGTTACAGACAGTTGGAGCCACCCAACACAGGAACTGGGAACTGAGCTCAGGTCTCCTGGAAGAGTAGGAACCACCCTGTGATAAGATAGTAACCTCAAATCCCACTGTGGTGATACATTGTGTACTCTAGTAAAATTTTCCTGAAGATCAGAGAACAGAACAAGCCACTAGATTAAACATAGAGGCCAGGCAGCGGTGGCACACACCTTTAATCTTAGCACTCGGGAGGCAGAGATTCATCTGGATCTCTGTGAGTTCAAAGCCACCCTGGATTACGTGAGATTGACTCAATCTAGGAGAGAAACAGGGCCAGGCAGTGGTGGCACACACCTTTAATCCCCATAATTGGGAATCACTCGCCTTTAATCCCAGCACTTGAGATCTCATGCCTTTGCTTCCAGTATTGTGGGAAGTCACACACCTTCAATCTCAGCACTAAGAAGGAAGTAAAGGCTGGGTGGAGAAAGGTATATAAGGCACGAGGAGACAGGAACAATAAGCCTTTTCAGGCTGAGGAGTCCTAGAGGTAAGACGTGGCAGTGGCTTGTTCCTTTGTCTCTCTGATCTTTCAGCATTTACTCCAATATCTGGCCCCGGATATATTTTTTTTTTAATTAAAAGACCAATTTAGCATTCGTGTTACACCCCACTCAAATCCTATATATGAATATTGAAAACAGTGGACTGCAATTCCTCTTTGAGAAGCTCACACCCATGTTTTCCATGTGTCTTACTTTCTGTTTTTTTTCCCCCCTGAATCCTTGAGCTTAAGCCTATATGAAAACATCTTTAATATGGACTGGAGAGATGGCTCAGTGGGTGGGTAAATCATTTGTCATGCCAGCATGAAGACCCAAGTTTTGATCTACAGAACTCACATAAAGCCAGCTGCGGCAGTGTGTGTCTCTGCTCATGGGCCAGTGAGCCTGGTACATGAAGTGGTGATGAGATCCTGTCTTAAACAGGTGGAAGGTAAGGACTGACAGCCAGAGGTGTCCTTTGACCTCTATACACCTGCAGTGGTGCATGCACAACTGCACACACATAAACACAAACATCGCTAACGTCCACACAAATACTAAATAAAGATACGGTGGTCTGACTGAGAAACGTTCTCCATAAGCTTATGTGTTTGAATGCTTGTTCCTCAGTTGGTAGCACTTTTTGAGGCGGTTATGGAACCTTTTCCAGGTGGAGCCTTGCTAGAGGAAGGATGTCACTGGGGTCAGGGTTTGAGATTTATAGCCTTATTCTGCTTCCAGTTCACTCTATGTTTAGTGTTTGTAGTTAAAGATGTGATCTCTCAGGGGCTGGGGAGATGGCCTGGTGGTTGAGTTAAGAGCACTGGGTGCTCTTGCAGAGGACCTGAGTTCAATTCCCAGCATCCACATGGTGGCTCAAAACCATCTGTAACTCCAGTTTTTCTGACTTCCATGGGTATGTGGCACTCATGCACACATGCATGCGAAACAACTGTGCATGTAAAATAAAATAAATCTCTCAGAAGAAGATGATGTCTCAGATTCTTGCCTCTGTTGCCATGCCTCCCCACGATGATGGCCTCCTCCCCTC